TGCTGGGACAATCCAAGTAACCCTTCAGTCCATATGTCAACACAACGTACTGGCGACGTGGCTCAAAGATTTATATTCCCTATACGGCTGGTTGTCTCTCACAGCGCCAACTGCTGCATCTGCTGTTGCATCACCTTGGATATTTAATTTGGTTATTGTATTCATTGACACAAAAGCCAAACAGCAAGTCACCTGCTGTGCGCGTTTTTTGATTCCTTGCCAACTGCTTGTGCTGTTGGCATCCGAAAAACAATGGACCGCTACGCCCCAAACTGCTATCGACTCGAGATTCGACCAGGGCTTGGCTAAGCCGACAATATGTTTTAATCGAGTTTATGAATAATATTACAAAGCATTTTAAGTTAGCAGGTCAGGCAACAATTGCAGCGTATACGTACATGAACGTCAACAAAGGATAATAAGCGTATCCACTTGATGGTTGCCAGGAGGGCGGTGTGTGACAACCAAAGAGTGCCAAACGCGGTCAAATACAAATAAACAATAGAGTGGAAGTGGGAGGGGGTGCAGTGTGGAGAGGTGTAATATGGGCAAATGCTGAAAATCCTTTGCCCGTAATCAAGCGTAAAATAGTACAATATATCTATAACAATGGCAAACGCACGGCTGAGGTCGTTATGAAAGTGGGAAGTAAGGTTGGGAGAGCCGATTGTGGCAATTGTTTGACAGGCGAGACAAAAGGATTTGCAGCACACGCAGGTTAATGAGTATTACCAGCGACTGAGTGTCTATGTGTGTAAGAGTAAGGCTGCGCACACACGTCGATTGTAATACGTCGAGTATAGGATTCAGCTGCTTTTGTTGTTGTTGCTGCTTCCGCATCGCAAACATGCAAAACAGATAACAATAAAAAGAAACTACCGTAAAGAGCAAGTGGGATCACTCGAAGAAATAGGCAATTAGTCTCTTAAGTTAAAAAACATTCTTTGTTTTTTATTTTAACTTTCTCAAAGATCGAAGTCTTTTAAATCCACATATCATGATCATCCATACCCGTTATTAAAATATCCCACTTTCATCTCTTTTAAATATTTAACATTTGTTCCCCATTACAATTTTAGTAAATAAGCTAGTTGGGGTCCACATTAGAAATTCCTAATATTTACTAGAATTTGACTCATTTAATTTATATTTTTAATACTGTGAAAACTCCCGTAATAGACACCTTTATTTCCGGGCACCCGTCTTAGACGGACACTTTTTCTAGAACATTCGTTTGGGAGTACTTTTAAGAGCAAGTTTGTTTGTTTGGTTTTTTTTGCACGTCAAAATAATAGTAGTACTTGGAAAAATATATTTATTTCCTGACACCCGTCTTAGACGGACACTTTTTCTAGAACATTCGTTTGGGACTACTTTTAAGAGCAAGTTTGTTTGTTTGTTATTTTTTGCACGTCAAAATAATAGTAGTACTTGGAAAAATATTGCAAAAAAAATTAAATGTGTTGTTGTTTACCTCAAGGAAGGTTAGTTAGGGATCAATATTAAAGTTCGTTTTTCTGCTGTGACTGATTGAGAAGTCATACAGCTTTATTTCATGGCAAAAAATTGTTAAAATTAAGTTATATCCTGTAAAGTTATAACGGTGTACCTAAATATGTATATGTATGTATTCTATAAAAAAAAAGCTTTAATGCCATATCACTACATTTATATGCCAAAGCTAATTTTACCCATTGGTGCTTTTTAATTTAAACAAATTAATATAGATAGGATTCCAGTAACACTACATCTACATTTTCGTTTTTTTGAGTGTATTTATAATACAAGTATGAGAGTAGGTTGCTATAGCAGCATAAATATATCAATAGGTTGCAAGCAATTGCAAATTTCCCTTTATTCACTTTGCCATTTCCAATCCTTTTAAAATGTCTTGTGGTGCACATGATATTGTTGCTGTTTTTGAGTTTAATAGCGCAATCATAAATTAAAATGCGGGTAGCACACAGCTTTTTGATTTACCCCCATCCGCTACTGCTCTCGACGCTAATTGAAGACCGATAATGACGATAGCGCTGGAAAGTATGCTAACCATTCGCAAAGAAAAATATATTGGACACTGTCCAAGTGCACACCCACGCCTACTCGCATTACGCCCTTTCCTTTTACATTTCCACATTTCCGCAAACGGAGTGCAAATATTTAACAGCCAACGACGGGCCGCATTTCAAAATGTGGTATAGAATAGAAAAAATATATAAAATATACTTGCGAGCCTCTCTCTTTCTCCGCTACGTCATTCATTGCTAGAGAAATACAGCCGCAGCATCAGCTTAATGCTAAATTAATTCCAATTACCACATTAGGGCCAGTGCCATTGCAAGTCCAAGCTGGCAAGTGGACAAGCATACTCAAGCGCAATCCATAACCAACTCAGCCAATTCTACTTTTCCCACCCATGACATTTAACATTTTTATGCGTTAATTTAGCTGCGCTAATGCGCGGACCTGCACTCGACAAAAGCTCTGCTGCATACGCTGACCCGGTCTTTTCCTGATGGCACTCCCCTTTGCTTCCCACTTTCCCATTTGCGCTGGTCTTGCGTTGGCTGCGCTGGAGTTCCATTGCCTTTTATGCGCCTTTTATTACATAAATTTTGTTATAGGTATATATATTTTTTATTTTTTAGATTTCTTTCCATAGCCCGCACTTTGTTGGCTTTTCGAGCGTCCGCACGATTGTTCGTTTGCCCTCCGCCAGTGTCGCTAATTAATAATTAATTAAGTTTAAAAATTTTAAAAGTCGAGTGGAGGAATGCTGGCAAGTAAAATAAAACTTTGACTTGGGAAGAATTCCAACTTTCTTTCTTTATTTGTGCTCTCGGCTGCCAGCATTTGCGCAAAAATATTTAGCAGAACTTTCTTTACACAACTTTTGCGTAAACTTTGGCACAATGTGTCGTCCTCTTTGGACAGGCAACGCCTTTAGGAGCCGACAGCGGAGCAGCATGGAGTAAAAGTTTTTACTGTCGCATTTCTCATGCAGAACTCAGGCAATAAAATGCAGATATAGCAATGTTACCATAGGCTTTATGTATAATATATGTAGATATTCCCACATACATACATATGTGTATATACATACATACTCGGTAAGGGAGGAACAAAGGCATTTTTTTTTTGCCTGCAATGTCCAGACAGCGTCCCTTCATATTAAAAGCTCTGCATTAGACAAAACACACGTGTGCATGCTTCAGACTGCTAAAGAGGAGGTTTACAAAGAGAGTGGCGGGGATTTAGGGGAGAGTACAAAAATGTATAAAAACTGCACCCTACTCAAGTTTAAACTGTGTACTTTCTATGCATAAACGAAAACCGCAAAAAAATGTTTAATTGGTGTGTACGTGGCGTGTAAAGTGACCCCGTCTGTTCCTTGTACTCATACCCCTGCTTCTCTTCTTCTTATCCGCCTTCTGTGGCCACTCTTACAACTCTACTGTCTACTCAATTGAGTTTCAAAGTTGCAATTAGAGAAGCTTCAATGCGCGGCTGCCAAGCGGTCGCCATCGCCAGCGATTGGCCCATTGGCTGAGAGGGCTGAGTGAATCATGTCCTCTTCATAAAAACAATGTTGAAAGGAAACAAGTCGCAGACCATTAAATTTAAAAGCGATTTTTATGCTCGACTCATTAAGGCAGACCATTGCAGAATAGAAAACATTAAGTCAACCGTGTTAGTAATTATTCTTGTTAATAAACACAACAATATGCCTTCAAATTCGGCCTATCCTGAAGATTTTAAAAATTGATTTGGGCACTACTAAGATCATACAGAGTTCTTCCTGTAATAAAGCAACTTTAAGCAGCAAAGAAGTTCGCAGATACCTGGATAAATGTGAAATATTTGTGAGAAAAGAAATGTTACCTGACATAAAGATGAAATAAGTAATAAATTATCTGCAGTAGTTAGGGAAAATTCATCCATGAATTAAGTAAAGGGGTATAGTATGTACATAATATATGTACATATATATATATATATATATATATATATTATATATATATATAGCTTGGCCATCAAATGAACCATAGTCATGCTACCGCGATCTTCAAAAAATTTTCAAGTGCCTATGGACGAAGCGCTCAATGGCGTACATAACCACATCCATGACGATGAAGGCAATAGCGGCAATGACGACGGCAACGAAGCTTTTTTACCCAACATTTAATTAAGAAATAATTGAATAGGTTGATCGAAGTGGTTTTTTAGCATTCGCACACACCTGCTATGCTTGGTCTACCCCTGACTCTTTCCCAGCTATAAGTCTAAGCGAGATTAGCTTTGTAAATAACCGACGACATATGTACAAGTTGAATGGCGCGGAAAAATCAATTGCAGCGTGAAAAGGCGACAGCGATTTTTTAATGAAGAAGTCACAGTCAAAATACAAGTACAAATCAAAGCTTTCGTTTCAAAAGCCAAAACAATGAGGTGAAATGCAAAATGGCACGCAAAACAAGAATGGAATGCTAAAGCCGGGCGGACCAAACCCTTAAATACCCTGTACCCAATCCCACCAAATTAGTATAAATAACTTAAAATTTTATGTCCTCAATAAAATGAATAAATTAATTTTATTATGCCAAATATGCTTATGTAATCCATTCTTAGTTTTAATTGACTTCGGGATTGCTACTCTGTCAGCCCATACATGTGTATGCTATGTTTACAATAAAGAATTGAGCCAAAGCAGCATAAACAACAGCTGCTAGCAAAGATTAGACAGAGATTACATTTATGGCTGTACAATTTTTTAAATTTCACCTATCACGACACAACTTCATATACGGACACATAAGCACTAACATAAGGTACAGGGTATGCAAATTTACGTTTGACTTCAACGTTAAATAAACATGCATCAGGGCTTGGAAGGAGAAGTCTCGAACGTTTTGCGCATTGAGCCGAACGCTTATAATTGCAGTTGCAATTTTAGCAAACCATTGTTGATTGGGAGCTGAATTAAAAATATGAACACTACCTTCTCTGTACATGATGTGTTATTCGAATGTATCATTTTGCTTATCCTTTTAATCATAAAGAAATTTCTAATAAATATAACTAAAGTTCAACCTTAAGTTTTAGTATCAAAAGGAATCCCTAATACTTGCAGCCAAAACTGTTAATTAACGGCATCGCCAGAACGTGGTACCTTTAGGTTCCAGGGTATAAAAAAAGAGAGGCATAAATTTATTTGTTGGTTATGGAAATCTAATTTCATAACAGAAAATATATACTTTTTAAAGAGATTTGAAAATTATTCAACATATTGCCAAGGTACTATCGAAAGTTTTTTCGGTTCATGCAATTTTTTAGAAGTTCAGTATTTCCGTTGTCTAGCTATGAACGCTTTGCTTTACTAACTGAAGGTTGGAGCGTAGGAAACACATGCCTCCGCGATATGCCCAGGTGCAGGCATCGCTACCCTGAGAATTGTTGTCGGCACAGCTCTCAATTTTCGTATGCGTCTCATCATTGTGATCGACAGTGCCGCTTCCTCCGGCCAACTGCTCGTGTACCTTGTGGACATCGAATCCCTTGTTGGCATCAAAAAATCCAAACTGCTCGAAGACACACTTTAGATAGCAACGCGTGGTCTCATCGTCGGGATATTTCCATTGCTTATACTTGTCCACAGCATCGACATTAGCGTTTACCTGCTCGGCACACAGATTGCGATACCTAATTAGATCGTCATGAGTCTTCACCACATAGGCAGCTTCGTGTTCGTGATGGAGACTCGCAGCATGATGATGTTCGTGATTAGCTTTTACCTGCGGCAACAAATAAACCACATACAAGTAGACTGATTCCTCACGTTAACTCCATGCCCAAAGATTTACCAAAACAAAGACAACGAACGGTAGGAAGAAAACAAATTTTTCCATTGCGGCGAGTACAAATACGCAAGTAGAACTAAACTGCACTTTTTGCTGCCCTACACATTTGTATATGCTTTTATAGTCACCGCCTTAACTTACAGACAACTGAACAACTGGTTATCTTTAAATTCACCTTCTAGGTCGCTCTAAGAGATTACAGCTTGTTCGTCTAGTTTATAGAAAGTGTTATCAATGCCGCTGAGCTGAGCAGTACCCAACAATGGCACTAGATGTTAGGGCCCTGAGCAGTAAACAAGTCTAAACTCCGAATGATTGTGTCTTGTCCGCTACTTACTAATCGGGCCCTAAACGGTAAACAATCTAAACTTCGAATAATTGTGTCTTGTACGCTACTTACTAATCGGTACTTTTAACTTGAAAATATATTTAAACCTCCTACACAAATATGTATATAAAATTGTACATTTATTGGTGTTGCCTAAAACTGAACGTAAATATTCTAGAAATATTCATTTTTCAATAGACAACATTAATTTAGGTTTGGCAGCTCTCTACTGAGATGAATATATACTCGTATATATATGTAAATTTTTGATTGCTAAGTTTATATTTTTAAATTGAGACGTTTTTTCAAATTTTTGAAGCGCCATCTAGTTATAAGCTTTCACAAACATTGCAAAACAGTTTCATACATTTCTACTTTTGTAAGCATGCTATGCCGCCAGTTCATTTCTAATACATACATACTTGCTTACATTTTTTCTTTGTCTTATAGATACAACCTCAAAAAATTAACTGACGAAAATACACCGTCCTTACTTGAAGTAACCACACTACACATACCTTCAATATGCTAAGTGGACAAAAATTAGAGAAAAGGGAGATCAAAAGTTAGAAAGATTTATATATATTTTCTTTTGTTAGCATATGACATTCAGATATTTTTCATACTCCTACAATTTGTAGAATAAATGTGTACTAAATAATCTTACTAGAATTGAGAAATCTTTTATGGTTAGCGTGTAGCTTTGAAAATGATCAAGTAATGATCCCAATTGCCTCCTAACATAAATTTAACTGTAATATGCCGAAGAGAAAAAGAAAAGTAGTCCATTTAAATGGAGGAAAGGGAAAGTGAAAGTTTCAGCAAAGAAAATGATGCGGATTGCTAAAACAGCAAGCAGCCATATAATATCCCCCATAATATCTATTTATCATCTCTCCGCTGGCAATGATGAGTGGAGTGTTTACATCGTGGCATCAAGGCAAGCAGTTCCGAAATCTTGTAATAAAAGTGAAACATGCTAAGTTGATTCGTTACGACTTGTAGATCGGAAGAGAGAACCAAAAATAAACACTATCCTTTACTGTAGATATATATGTGGATCATATGTACATATATATCTTCCGAACAATCCTTTGTATAGTTTTTTGTTACCATCATCAACGAATTGTACATTAAACAATAAAATCCTCATCGAAGTGCAAAAGTTCCTTTACAAGATCGATAAGCACCAAACACAATAATAATACACAAAGAAAGCGGCGAATCTACGCCACCGAGGCAACGGCACGAAAAGCGAGCCCCGAACACCGTTTGTCTCATGGTAAAAATGGAAGGTATAAAAAGGTTTGCATTCCCAGCAACCAGCTTCAATTTCAATAAGAAACGCGCGTGCGCAACCGTCGCCTTTGTCAGTCGTCCGTCAGCAGCTACAGCTTAAGCTTGAAGCCGCAACTTCAGCGTCTTTCCGTGTTTTAAATTATTTCAGCGGTTTTAAAAAATGTTTTCCGTTACTGCTTAAGTGCGCGCAAATTGTCGAAAGTGTGTATTTCGTTTAGTTTCGTGTTTGTTGGCGTTATTTTAGCTTAGGACAAGTATAACTGAGCCACAAACATACATACATATGTACGTATACATTGTATTATAATTTATAGCAACTTGTTTTCAAAGTCATTACGTGACGCGAACGCCGCATTACAAATTGTGCATTTTAAATCAAGCTAAGGCTACCATCAAGTTCCCAAGTGCAACACTGAGCTCAACGTTTTATGTGCAATTTTTGGGCTTTTCTTGAGCCTCTACTGCACTTCGCATACAAAACTCGCATGTCCGCAGCCCACTTTTGTGCAGACGACATGCAAAAAACAAAGGTAAATAATGATAATTGATTCCATGATGCATCTACGACTACATCAGTTGCCCACATTCCCTATCATTCGCTTTTGGCCACACTTTCAGTTTTTAAGTGTCTGGCAGTGAGTTTAATAAGCCATAAGGCCATTAGAAATAAACCATTATTGATGTTGATTTTCGAGTGGTAAAGAGCGCGAGTCTTAAACATAGCACTGGACTGAACTGAATAACTGACTCACCGACTTGATAGCACATACTATAGGCAAAACTTGCACTGCAGGCTAATTCAAGAAACGATTGTATGGTATTTTTTAGACTAGACACACCTTAAATATCATTCACATTCCTCATGTCATAAAAATCGAGCCGATGATTATGACCATATCGTTGCTTACTTTAAAAATTAAGATAAAATTAAAAATTATTCTTTAGATTCTTTAACATAACTATGTCCAAAATTGTAGATTGCGGTTCTTCGCCTAATGGAAATTCAAAGAAATTCCGAAATTTTTCAATAATATTAGAGGAATTGATTCAAAGTGTTCAATTTAGCACTATCCGATGTTCTATATTTTTATACTCTGTACATAAAATGTACAAGAGTATATTAGGTTTGCGGAAGCTGAAAATCTAACAGGCAGAAGGAAACGTGGCAGACCCCACAAAGTATATATATTCTTGATCAGCATGACGACACGAGTCGATCTAGCCCTGTCTGTCCGTCGTTCCGTATGAACACCTGGATCTCAGAGACTATAAGAGGTAGAGACACCAAACTTTGCACAAAGATGCGTTATGTGTGTACGCTGTGCAAGTTTGTTTTATTTTTTTAATTTTACCCCCCACTTCCCCCTATGGGGGGTTTCCCGATTTTCCATTCATATAATTCCCTATATCTCGGAGACTATAAGACCTACGGACACCCTATTTTAGTCCCACATGCCTTATGTGAATACGCAGAAAATGTGTATTTTGGAATTTTTCTTCCTCCCCCCTCTCCCATGCAAATCTCGATTTTCTCGAACTCCCGTAATTCTTAGATATATGTGCAATTATACACCCTTTGCGTGAGTTCGAATATCAAAAGAGATAAAATCGATCAAAAGAATTTTTTTTAATTCTCTTACTTTTTTTAATTTATATAATTATTCTAAACATATGTACAGAGTATTTCAAAGTCGGGACACCAGACTTTAGCTTTTTTCTAGTTGTTTGTAGTTGTTTTTTGAGTAGTTCACATGTCGATAGGCTGTCCATAATCTCTCAAATGATATTTTTCAAAAGAACACAGTGTTTATACAGAAGAACAGGCGGACATCTTTATATCGATTCGTATTATAATTCGTATTACCTGTACATTATACATAGCATGGACTTTGCCATACCTGCTTCTACCTGTAACTCTATAGTATAACCCTTCTGGAACTAGAAAATATGACTTGGAATATGGGAACTTGGAAACAAGATACTATGGTTCGGAAAACATTTTGTTATTTTGAATGACTTGTTACATTAAAGTCGAAGCTCTTGCTCTAATTTCGATTCAAACGTGTTTGCGTCGTGTTTTTTGATATTTGCCACTTAATATGCCCCAATTTTAAGCAATGAAGTGCACTCATAGATGCCGTCGTCATGATTGAATTTTTTGTTAGTGGATTTGATTCATGTCACTGAGTTGCAGACAAGTCCCAGTTATAGTACTGTTGACGTCAACAACGTTAACAGCTGCTCAGCGAACGTACAAAATGCGAAAAGGAAAAGCGTTTAAAATTGATTTTATATTTTGATCGGTGCTCATAGTGTACTGTGTTCGTTTATTTCACTTTTGGGCAAACGAAAGTACAGAGAAATGCGCGTAGGTGGGATTGTTTTTGTGGCCACGGTCATGAAAAGGCATGGAAAGTCAAAGTGAAACGCATGGAAAGCAAAACAAATTGCATACAGACAGCAAACAGTGAGCAGTGCACCGTACCGTGCTCAACGAGCCCATCAGATCTAGGTGTAATCTGAATCTAAGCAATTAGAGTGCATGTCTGTAAAGATCAAGATCGACGAAAAACTCGGTCACAGACTGCGCTAGCACCGCCGCTGCACGCCCCGACGCATTTCCGTGCCAGCATGTAACGAACTTGTTTAACCGGACATGGCTATATACAGCTGGCCATTTAGTCTAGAATACCTATGCAAATTTTTAAGGGGCTGGCGATCACGAAAAGCAAAACAGGGTGTTCTAAATTTCATTGCCAAGCTACATGGGACCCAAGCGGAACGCCTCACGTTGCCCCATACTGACAGAGCCCATAGTAATCCAATTAAAGGAACAAGCTACATTTCAATTCAAAACTAATTATGTGTGGCGAATTCCAACAATCACTACATGTGTTTATTATATCTTTGAGTTGAACCTTTGGACGTTTGGCTGCAACAGCAGCTTTAGTATCCATAACGAATTCAATCGCGTTAGTTGATCTGACGTGCTACTTACATACATTTTGTATGTATGTACATAAGTATATACATATGTATTTTTGAAAGTCGTGCACGATTTTTGCGGACTATCGACAACGTGAAATGCTCTACCCTCTCTTAACAATATTCCCATTCAGCCTGTTTAATCCTTAAATGTTATATTATTGGGTAAAATATTTTATCATTCAAATAAGTATAAGTATGTATAAATGATAACATGACGTTTGATTGCTTCTGGGAAATGCATGTATGTATATGTGTACATATGTGCAATAAGTAGCTGTGAAGCGGGGACAATAAATGATTGCCAAATTTTAAAGGTGAGTGTGAGTGCACACTAGTTAGGCGGCCGGCACTAACAATTACAAATGCCTTACTTCCTTATACAAAAATCAGAATTTTGAATCGGAAAATTATATTTGCTGAAAATTGCCATCCAATTTAATATTTTGTAGTGATCCTACAAAACTCGGTGAAACCAACAATCAAAAAAGTGCTCCATAATAATTTTTTTATTAAAGTCGGCATATTAACCAATATGCGCGTTAGCCTAACGTATAAACCCGCTTCCTTATAGCATCCCAGCACCAGCAATTCTATTAGCCTCTAAACTTCCGTCAACGTTTGCCCAAACAATGGAACAATTCATTGATTGATCAGCAAGCGCGTGATCAATAAAAAGAGCATTGGTAATTGTACCAAAAGCGATAAATGTTCTTAATGACAGACAAGCAACAACAGCAGACAATGAAAGTGAAACGGTGACCAACCTTCAAGTTACTCTGGTATTTCATAAAACCTTTTCCCTAATTCTATTAACAGCAAACGTTTCTTTTGATGCTAATTTTGGCATTGAGTCTGAACGAGGCACCGACTGCGGACGCAAGGCGCTTGCGAAAAAAGCCGAAGGTTTACAATGCTCTAATAACCACTGATGACAATTTGACTTCAAGCCGTGCGTATCCTCTAATACAGCCCACAATTCACGAGGCAGGATATACGCCTTTTGGGCCCTACAATCCATACGCCTTTTACAGTCCGCCCTCAGTAAGGTTTGGCCAGCCCCTTGTTCCGGGTCTGACACCTAATGAGCGGGTAAGTTGAAGACGAAATGCAACCAATAGCCCTAATTATTCTATATATTTGTTTTGCTTACAGCTGCCTTATCCTATAACACAGGGAAAGGAATTTACACCGAGCTATGAAACTTTAGATCCCAACGATCCAAGTGAAGTGCCTCTCGGGCAGCGTCTACCCAGTGTCGATCCAAATAAGCGTCAGCCGGTTACTAGTTCTAATTCTGACATCAAGGACATAACCAAAGAACACCTGCCTTTGCAATTAAACCATCAGGGTCTGCCACCAATGCTCATACCAGTGTCTTCCCAATACTCTAACAACAACACTCCCATTCACTTGCCATCCTATCCGTACAGTCAATATCCCGTCATTTACGACAACACGGGATATCCTTACCGTCGGGAGCAATACTTGCCCCCTTTTGAGCAGTACCCGAGCCATGGTTATGTAAATTCAGCACAGACTAAGCCGCAACAGCAGGCACATCAATCAGATAAAAAGCAACACATACAATCAGAGATGCAGCCACTAGTGTCGTTACCCTTGGATAACTTTACCCAGATACCGAGCTTTGAAGATATTATAAATGGTTCGGAAAGCAAAAACAGCGCTGTACCTGACGTTCCTCCACCGCCGATACCTTCCGGTCCGAAACGTTTCAAGCCAATGGAAAAATAAAATAAATTAAATTAAACGTAGAATTCATTGTACTATATACGCACATATTTATTAGTATTTTCTTAAGCATTTCTAATGCATGTACAATGTCGTTCAACCACTTCTAGTATAGGAATCACCACAAATAGTAATACAAAATAAAACTCACGTACTTGCGGTTAATGAACTTTGTAAGCTCACCAATGGGGATTCCCTAGGGAGAATCGGGACAATCATCGATTTTATTTTCGTGGCTAAAGTCGCTGGGGAATAAAGTTATCTGTGCGAAAACAATCCTATAAATGCAGTCCCAAAATCGCACAAATGCACAGTTTGAATTTGTTCTGGCTTGCGAAATGAAGTATATATTTCTGCTGATTTTATGCAGCTATTTCATTGGTTCGTATTAGTCAGTATTAAAGATTATAAAGTCCTTGATCTGCATGCTGTTTAGTTTTATTCTTCACAGCTTACGGCAATACTACATACATCACTCATCCACCATTTGTGCGTAGTCGATATAGTCTACGGTGGCGTCAAAACAGTACAATCTCGCCATTGGAGACAACAGGACGTGCCGTAGAAATGGCAACCTCTTCTGAGCATTCAAAAATATTAGCCTCATCAACAGCTAATGGGGATTACGATTATTATGGAAACGGGGAAATGGACAATAATGTTCACAAATAGAATACACAAATATTTTAACTCATTTGAATAAAATCAATGAACATAGAATAGTTTTTTTTAAAGAATCAGTAAGCAACACAATGCAGAAATGGCAAGCAAATTTATTTTATCTCTCTTAAATAAAGTCATATAAATATAATAAAAACATTAATTTCAAAAATCGCGCACTCTGCTTATTAAAACAAGTTGGCATCACTTGCACCGTTTCCAATTCTAAAAATAAATAGTATGTAAGCACTGGCAGCCGAGCAGCTGCTTGCGAAAGCCGTAAATAAAAACTCGTATTGCAAATGAGTTTAGCAAAAAGGTACACGCAATGTATATTCAACTTTCGAAAAGTAGCAAGCTCGCTTCTCGCCAACAAAGGCAAATGGCAGTTGCTCGGTGCCGATGCGAAAGAAAGAGCTAACAGATGGATTGTCAGCGGGGAGCAGTGGTGAGTAAATTCGTAGTGTCCAATGACTAGATTGAGAAGCTTTGATTACGCGCAGTAGCAACATCTCAGTTCTGTACACGACAGCAACAAGAGTGGAGGCATCAACTGATAGTGGCCAACGCAGGTTTGTTAACACGCAACAAAAGTCCATAACATCAGCAAATACAACCACAGCGAAAAAGCGAAAAATGGTGGTAAGTGACAAATCTTTTTATTTCTTAAACCAAGAACTCGATCTCAGATAAGGCCCTGTACTAGGCACTATATAATGGATATTGCTTGTGTATACCTGGGACGCACATTTTCTTTATACACATACATAGATGCACTTGTAGCTCACAAACGTTTAATCTCAACAGTACTTATGTCTTGAGGGTCCATTCAGTTTTTTGTTTATTCCTATATGGACTTGCATACAAATATGCATATGTACTTGCTGCTTACTTAAGACAAAACTTTTTCCCTTCCCCACACAGGCAAAACTATCAGAACAAGAACGCACTGAAAAACTGCAACCACTTTTAGATGCTGGGTGGAGTCTCGTTAATGGTCGCGACGCCATCATTAAAGAATTCATTTTCAGTGACTTTAATCAGGCTTTTAGCTTTATGACTGGAGTGGCCCTATTGGCGGAGAAAATTAATCACCATCCAGAATGGTTCAATTGCTACAACAAGGTCCAAGTCACACTGTCTACCCACGACGTTGGCGGCTTAAGTAGCCAGGACATACGCATGGCTACATACTTTGATACGCATGCAAAATTGTTCAATTAAATTTAATACATAAGTATGCATATTATACATGCATATTTCTTTGTCCTATATTCATTGAAAAACTCAGACCAAAGTGGACTTACTTAATATATGGTAGTCTGCCTGACATACGCATGGCTACATACATACTTTATGAAAATTGTTCAACTAAGCATTGCCTCCCTCCCAATCACTGAATGTACATACATATATGTATGTATGTACATATGTATGTTATAAAACTAGGTACATGTGGATGTGTACATATGTATATGTGTGCATGCATATTTATTTGTCCTATATTCGTTGGAAATACTCACACCAAAGTGGACTTACTTAATATCTGGTAGTCTGCCTGAGCCAACACATCTGGCGAGGTCTCGTCCTTAATATAACCAAGCGCATTAAAAAATGTAATCGAATTTTCATTGTTTTTCAAGACTGTGAGCATTATTTTCTCCATTTGGAAGTGGCGAGCACAAGCCTCTAATGTTTGCATCATGAATTTTCCCAGACCCTTGCGTTGGCAAGGGGCCGATACCTGCATTTCGTAGCTACATAGCAAATATGTGTTGATTAATTAAATACGTAACGGTCGTCTGTCAAGTACATACCAGTAAAGAACACTATCCCCATCGTCTATGTCAAAGCGGAACATTGCATATGCCACAGGTTGTTTCTCTGCGTTTTGAGCAACCAAGTAACGAGCCCAGTTCTTGTTCAGCTCAGCTTGCTTGATCTTTGGTTGCCATCCCATTTTGAGTTGTTTGTAAAACGGCGCAACATTAATTTCAGCCAATTTAAATGCCCACTTAAGTGTTTTCGCATCCAGGTCATTTTTAGCGCGACAATACAGTTCAAACTCCTGGCCACAAGCTGCAGATTTGTAATTGCGATATGGTAAGTTTTCTAGTGGATTTTTCGCCCGTGCAGCAGCTTCGATGTGTTTTTGCTTAGCTGAAGCACTAATTTCTTCTCCATTAGTCATTTTTTAAGCAAATCGAGTTTTTATGAAGCATTTATAATTTACTATTCTGCAGGGCGTCAGTGACTGACAAAGCGCGAAATAAAGTGCTACCAAGCCTAATAAAAGAACTATCTAATGCGAATGTCTGGCGTGTAAGAAGAAGACTGCCGAATAAACCAGCTGAGTGACGCGTAAAAACAAAATTTTACTTGCATATTAATTTGAGCACACACCTATCCAACATTTTCATCAACTCAGACTCGGGCACCCCAGTACGTGTTTTGAAAGTCACTTCGTCACGTTATTTTTATTTGATTTTCGTCATTTTTTTTCAGTAAAAATGTTTAGGAAATCTAAAACGCAACAACCAGCGCCTCCCACAGCACCTGGTATAGAGGAAATTCTTGAAGACGTAGAAACCTTTAAAATTCCACAGGCCTATGTAACAGAGGCACGCACTGCCGAGTTGCAAAATGCACTACTCGCTGAGCCCGATAATCTTTCGCTTAAAATCTGGTGGCAGGTATTCGACGATTACGAACATAAAGTCAAAAAATTGGCCGCTATAAATGAAAAAATAGATGTGCAGAAAACGCAACTACAAAGTTGCAAACGTAAACTCGAAAACAACGCCGAAGGGCTTCGTGTTGCCCTACAAAAACAGCTTGAGTTAATTCAGGAAGGTCTACATTAGCTTAATGTGGTCATATGTTTAAAAATAAAAACTGAAAACACAGCGGTTGGTAATCGTTTTGCTGCGGAAGATATCCACCCACACTTATCGAATACTCCGCTAGCTTCTTCGCTCATCACTGTTCACTATTAAAGGTATCGATACTCATACACATTGCAGCCGTTTTGCAGGGTAACAAAATTGTTTCTACTTAAATTTCGTACTTAAAAATGAAGTATCCAAATATATATACAGTATGTGCCTAAAATTCCTACTTAAAATAAGTAAAATCACGTGTACCATAAGTTAAAAATCCAGCATTTTTGCCCAATGAATAAGCCAAAAACAGGTTTCAGGCCAGGCAATAAAAAAACTTGGCTGGCTTACCTTTTACGCCAATACAAGTAGCAGTCAGCAGCGCGTATATAGCAATACAACAGCGAGCGGACTTCGATTGTTTTGTGTGTTTTATTCAACGCGATTTTTCGCCAGTGAGTTTGCTAAATCCAATTAAAAAATTCTAAAAATAAAAACAATTTAAATGTGTTGAGTTCTGTGGGTAAAATAATATTACCAGCTAATTGAATTTAGGGGTTTTTTTGGCCAAGAAAATTCAACAACAACCACAAGCAGCGACTAACAAACTACAGAGCAGAAATTCAAGTCAAAACTCAGGTAGCAAGAAGAATACACACATACAAATATAATTTAACACTTAAATTGCATACACAAACCATAATAAATCAACGCATTATCAAAGCAAAAAAGAATGCATTTATTTTGTTTAGCTTTTTGCAAATGTGCAAAAGACACCCTGACTAACAGTAAATTTCACGAACATGAATACGCTTTATAAATTTCTGTGTATGTTGGACCTGTATATACACAACATATGCAGGGTACATACATATGTATTGGGCTGTATTTACGCGTTACAGATGTTTGCGTTGATGGTGTGTGTGTCTCTGCTGTGAACAGAGTGCTAATAAGATGGGCTTATTTTTCATATAATGTGTTGTTGCTGTTGTGTTGTCGTAATTTTTTACCTCTGCTTTTGCCATTTATGCAAAATATTTTAACAAAAGATGTGTTTTATTGTTTTGATCTTTGCGTGTATTAGTGAATGCTGGGAATTCCGTTTCTGAACTCAGACAGCGCAAAAGGTGAAATCAACTTTTTTAGTTGCCGTTATTGTTGTTTTCGTTCTCACTGCCAACAACGACAGTGCATTGTATTTAGATACAGATTTTATTTAAAATGCAACATTATCTTGTAATATCGAAACAGCATCAGCGTGTGGGTGGGCATCATGGCAATTCAAATCAATTACCTACCGTTATGAGCAGTCCCACAATCTTACTGAATATGTACGTATTTATACAAATGCATGTAAATATCTATCTTTATGTCTTGCAGAAGTAAGCTTGAGATGTCACACACTTACACTACAAGCTGGTCATTTTAACATTAGCATAAGCTTAGAATTCAAACAGCAGACCCAATACCAGCAATAATGTAATACGCAGGGCACACTGGAATTCATTTCACTAGAGACGTCACCAATAATTAGTTAGGTTTCCACTCCATAATACAAACTGAAGATCAAAGCTAATCATAATGGGCTGGCTGCTGACGTTACTGTTGCTGTTGCTGGCACACAATGAGCTCCTTGCCACTCCAACTCCTCTCAAGCTGCCAGGTAAGTAACCACTCATAGATTAGTCTTATGCTAATACAAGGCCAAAATCGTATGACTTCAATTTTACACTATTTAATATAGTATAAGAATAAAGAAGCACGAAATTTATAAACAACAAAATTTTTGTTTTCAAATCATCACCAGAAAGTGTATATTTTATTTAATCTTGTAAACATGTGTATATTATGGTAGTCCAAATCAAAGGACTGATGGATAAATTTTTTGCAGTATGATGAATATGTAATATATAATAATAATGCTAAATGGAATATTGCATCGCAAAATATTAATTTATGTTATTCATTTATTTTATTTGAATAGATATGCACTTTCAAAAAAAATCACTTTTTTTTTTAAACAAAAAAAATACATATGCATAACGCATGGTTTTAAGATAACTATGTGCAAAAAACTGGAATATGTCATCCTAAGATTTTTCCTAATCTTGAGTTATACACATATGTACATTGGTCTTGATGGTTTTTTTTATCGTATTTTAACGTTCGTGTCATCTTGTTGATATCATGTGTTGTTTGTTGTTGTTGCATGTGCGAAGTGAAATACTTATTTCTATATTTTGAAAATCGTCGAATACCAAATTGTTAGTTATGCTGAATAAGTAATTCAATCTTGAAATCGTTCGTACGAAATTTACAATACAAAAGTTTCATTTGAAATAAAGTTGTAATATAGTATTTCAACTTAAGGAACCAATATGAAAAATATCAAAAATCGGTGAATCGATATCAAATTTTCGGATACGTCGAAGCATGGATTTTAAATTTTTAACCTCAATATTCATTTTGGATTTGCATCATTACTCCTCGCAGGTTACACACATAAGTTAACGCCATATATTAAGCACTGGGAAGCTGCGAGCTTTGATCGCGCTATATTACAGGCTGCCCAGCTTCGACATATTGAGCAAGCACGAATGCGTCGGAAACGTGAAGCAGCAACATCCACGGCATCAAAAGGTCTGGCGCACACAATACGACTGAATTTCTCGGCACATGACAGGTGAGGGTGTTTTACATATATACTATTGTTTTATTATCTATTTACTTCAAATGAACAATATTTTTATTTTTAAACAGAGATTTTCGCCTAGTGCTGCGACAACAACCGCATTCGGTATTTGCCCACAATGTGCAAATAGAGAATACCCTGGGACCCGTAGACTATGATGTATCTCGCATATATACCGGTACATTGGAAGATGATGAAAGCGCCCATGTGCAGGCAATTCTCACCAGTGATAATCTATTGGATGGTACCATCGAAACGCATGCAGAACATTATTATTTGGAACCAGCACATCGTTATTCCCAGCAACTTGTTGAGAGTGGAATTCATAGCATAGTCTATAAGCTGAGCGATGTAAATATGAAGGAACACGGCATCAGTGGTGGGGCCTTAGCGCCACAGGTTATTACCAAGGAACCACATACACATTGTGCCAGCGAAATTTTGCGTCGCAAGCGCTGGCTGCCAGATGAGGTGAGTGCAAGATTTAAATTTATCATAGCCCTACGAGCCTGTCTTCTCATTTTAGTTGGCCATGTCGGACAGTCCCGCGACAAATAGCCGAAATCCTCCCCTACCACTAGATTTGGAAGTTCCCTACAACGATGATTTCCGCATGCTGTCCTCGATGGAGCATGACTCGACAACAACCAGGGCTGAAACAAAAAGTACAGATAGTTTTTTGGCCACGTTGACGAAGTCCACACAAAATCGAAATATACTTGTAAATAACTATAATCCCTCGAGTGTGACCGGTAGCAGCAGAAGCTATAACAATAATAATGACAACAACAATAATAATAGCCACAATGTAAGGAAGCTGTACACCAAGCATAAGAACATCATTGTGAGCACCTACAATCGTCCCATCGAACCGGAATTCAGTACGCCGTATGATGACCGACAAAATTCCAGCAACAATCTGCCAAATAATTTTTTCAATGCCAACTGGACAACTCTCTTCTTGGGCACCGGTAACGATCGACCCAGTCACAAGACGCATGTGGAGATTATAACCAAGAATGGGGCAACTAAAAAACCAAACATTATTGTAAACAACTATAATCCAGAGATTATTTTCGCACCGAATCCACACAATCCCAACTTCAATAACATGCTTATGACGAACTTGCTGAGCGGGCGTGGTCATAATGTCCTGGGCAGTGATATACATAGCTCACCGAGATTGCTGTACGACCGAAAAACGACCTGCATGCTATATTTGCAAGCCGATCACACTTTTTTTCAGAAAATGGGCTCTGACGAGGCTTCTATCGAGGCCATAACAAGACACGTTCAGCGAGCCAACTCCATTTATCGTAATACAGATTTCAACAATGATGGGAAACCGGATAACATTACGTTTATGATCAAGCGAATCAAAGTTCACAACATGAATGCCATGAAAGATCCAACCTACCGTTTTCCCGGCAACTATGGCGTAGAAAAGTTTCTGGAATTGTTTTCAGGTTAGTGTAGCTACCAGTTTTTAAAACTTTATTTTTTTAATATTCGACTTGCAGAGGAGGATTACGATGCTTTCTGCTTAGCATACATGTTTACTTATCGGGACTTTGAAATGGGCACATTGGGTCTAGCCTGGACGGGTGATCTTAAGAATGCAGGTGGTGTTTGTGAAAAGAATGGTCACTACCGTGGCTCCCTCAAGTCCCTAAACACTGGGATTGTCACGCTACTCAACTATGGCAAGCATGTACCACCAGCCGTCTCGCACGTGACGCTAGCTCATGAGATTGGTCATAATTTTGGCTCACCTGTAAGTGTTAGACCAATTTCTCAACATCGTTTAATGCTTTCTCCTTGTAGCACGATCCGGAGCAGTGTACGCCAGGGGGCGAAGATGGTAATTTCATAATGTTTGCGCGTGCTACATCAGGTGACAAGAAGAACAACAATAGGTTTAGCGCCTGCTCATTGAAGTCTATAGAACCCGTACTCAATGCTAAGGCGCGTAGCGCAAAAGGTTGCTTTACAGAGCCGCAATCTGCCATTTGTGGTAATGGCGTAGTGGAACCTGGCGAAGAGTGTGACTGTGGGTGGGAGGAGGACTGCAAGGACTCATGCTGCTTCCCCATGTCGCGTCAGCCGCGCATTGATGAGGCACCTTGTACACTCACCCCACATGCACGCTGCAGTCCCTCGCAGGGTCCCTGCTGCACAACTGACTGTAAGCTCAAGTTTGGTGATAAATGTCGCGATGACAATGGCTGCCGAGATCCGTCATTCTGTGACGGACGTGTACCTCAGTGCCCGCCATCGGTAAACAAGCCAAACAAGACAATTTGCAATAAGGAGTTCGTTTGTTATATGGGCGATTGCACAGGTAGCATCTGCTTGGCATATGGTTTGGAATCTTGTCAGTGTATACCTGGTCCCCAGGATGATCGCATTAAATCTTGCGAGCTGTGCTGCAAGCAACCTGGCGAAAGCAATCCCTGCCGCAGCTCCTTTGAATGGAACGAGCCACCTTTCGATGTGCCCGATATGTACTCCAAACCGGGCACCCCATGCAATGACTACAATGGGTAACTCATACAAAACATAAGCAGTTCTAACCATTTTCCACAACTATTAAGGTCTTCCCTCTGTTATTTTTCTAGTTACTGTGATGTATTTCAAAAATGCCGCGAGGTAGACCCATCGGGGCCGTTGGCCACACTACGTAAGCTTCTACTGTCCGAGGAAAGTATTGCCACGTTTAAAAAGTGGATGCAACATAACTGGTACACAGTCGTTTTGGCGGCCTTTGGTGCTGTTATCTTGCTTGTAAGTAACTAGTTATTAATGTATGATATGGTATAATTAATATTAATGAACTCACGGTTGTGCTAAGTTTATGCGCATCGTTACAAACATATTGCGGGATGAGCATGATGAGAACACACAAGATAATGCCACTTTTGGTGAGCTTTGGAGAGACCCAAAAGCGTTCCCAGTAGCTTTTGTTAATAGGCAACGTAAATTCGCAATTATTGTTGCTCGCTCGATGAAATTACATACTTAGAGCACATCTAGAATTGGATTCATTTCATGCTACTCCTTGTTAATGTCCTTCCTAGTGACACTTTGCTTACCTACATATCTTTCATTATTCATAGATACTGAGCACAAAACTGCTCACGAAGCGGCACAATCTTAAGATTAAGTCCGTCACCATCATACATAGCGCCACAACAGAAACGGTGCGTCTGCCAGACAACAACAATGGAGTTATCGTTCACACCGCAGTGCGCACCAAAGTACCATTCAAAAAAAAGGTGCGTGGAGAGCGTTCCACCAGCAAAAATCCGAAAAAACCCAAGAAATCCGATAAAATGACCAATGGAGCAGCTGTTCGAGCCAAGACTAGCGCTTTCTTAGCCGCCACTCCATCAACCAAAACTAACGGTACAACTGCAGAACCAACGAATGCCACTCGGCTACAGGCACTAACCAATAAAAAGCTACCGAGGGTCCCTCTTACTAATACTTTAGCAACGGCACTGGATGATGTGAATACTAAGAACAAGAAATTGGGTAAACACATCAAGGAAGTCATAGACTACTCGCATCGCAACAATGCTGACGATGGCGAGTCCAACTTGTCTACGCCGAATATAAACCATTCTAATACCTTTGGCAAGGTACAAAGGTGGCTTCTGGAGTCGCCCATTGTGCCGCTCTCACATATCGAACATAGTTCCAAAGTGCATAAGGTGATAAGCAAGTCGCAGTCGACACCGGAGCGTTTGGTACAGAAAACTCCTCCAAAGACTAAATCAATGGGTAATTTGTCAAATGAAAAGGTAAAACTGCAAGTGGTATACAAGCCGCCGTTCAAGTTCTCGTTAAAGCTGTCGAAGAAGCCCAAGGTGAAAACTCACATAGTTGGTACTGGTCGTCCAAAGCGAGGGCAAAAAAGCACCTCCAATCGTGCCGCTGCCCAAACACAACAAAGCAAAGATACAAGTGGTTTGTGCACAGAGAGAACTAAAAGAAGCGCCCTGCTGTTGTGCCATGAGAACGAGGAAGAAAATCAAATACTAACGTTAAATGAGCCCAGCTATGAGACACTCAAGCCCACACGTCCTACGGAGCACTGTTATGAGAATGTCGATCTGCTTAGCACGACCATAGGAGTAACGGGGACAGAGGCCGATTGCAAGACGTCAAGCTCCAAGCCTAGTAACAACAGTAAAATTGCTCCCAGCAGCAATCGCGCTAGTATTGAATCCAAACAACGCATCCCTTACCGTCGCTCTAACTCGCTTTCCACACACAATCCCTTCGCAGCAGTTCAACCTGCCCCCCGACGAAACTGCAGCAAGTCTAAGATAGAAGGAAATGGAGGCAGTAATTCCGTTAATCTAACGCGCAACTTCGGTAGCACACAAAACCTTATCAATCTCAGCCAGAACCTGACCAAATCGAAGAAGCGCAGTAGTCTGAATCTAAAGTCAAGTGCGAGCAATAAAAATGGTAAAGATCCTCCCCCTACTGGTGCGGCAGGTAATGCGCCCCATCTTCGTTCCTCCTCCAATGTGAATCTGCGACGGGATAGTTTTGCATCTACATCCACAAATGATCCACAACAGTCGGCCTCCCAATTGCCAGTTCCACCTACTCGCACATTACGCAATAGCTTCAGCAACATACCACGCGCTAGCCTCAATGGCGGCAATAGCTCTTCGACCCCATTAGCGCCCAGTTTCTCACGTCAATCTTCCATCAACAAAGCCACAACGTCGTCCAGCTTCACGGCGCCCGTGCATTTACCACAGCAATCCGCCTCATCGAGCGCTGTCAACTCGAACGCCTCCCAGCGGCGTCTCCCAATTCAGCCAGTGCGACGGGATCTGAAGAACTTCAATCCGAAGGCCACGGCTGTCACTCAAACTTCGACAGCGCCAGACAATGAGCTTCCATCAGATCTAGAGGTTGTTATTTCTGATATAGAGAACTTGGTTAGCTAGAAACTCCCGCGTCATCGTATAGTAGAGGGAAGGGCTGATAGGCGATTCCTGATTTCAAAACCAACCAAGTGATAAGTCTTAAAGTTAGTTATACAATTATCGGATAGATTTACTTTCATATATATACTCTACACTGCCTTAAACTTGCCGTTTCTGCTGAATTTGTGAATTTCCCGCTCATATACACAATTTGCCAACACGATCACGACCACCGCCTGTAATTGTAAAAGTGCTCACTCGCTTGCGTCCAGATTCACTCGTTCAATCAGTCAACCATCTAGTTATTGCTGCTCCGCACTCATCGCACACATTGTACCTTTAACTATTGTTAACAATTGTATTGTATTTGCATCTGTAACCCATGTATATGTCCAACTATCGTTACGTTTTTCTTCACTGGCTATAAATAATATGTTCTTTTGATGGTAATATATTCTAATAAGTTAATTTAAAGCAACAAAATTTTACCGCGGTTTATCAAAAGGCCAATAATCTTATTGAATTCTCATTTGTCGTTCGAATTTCTATAAAAACAACAATTATACATATGTATCTGCGCCAATCTTTACTCTTTTTTTTTCTAACCCAAAAACCACTTCCATCTGAATTCCCCCAAACACAAAACAATACAAGGTGCTATTTTAGTATAAAAAAATATAAATATATTAAAAAAAAAAAAATTAAAATCTTTTTAAGCTATCCTATGTGTACTTCAAAGAAACAAGAACAATGATCAAAAAACAAAGCACAGACTTGTAGCTAAAAAATCGTATAAGGTAGTCAGCAAGTGAACGTAAAAAATTATCTAGCGAATTAACCAACGATAAATGTCAATGAATCAAAAGCAAAAATGCATCGAATGTAGTTTAAACTAGTTGCAACAGAAGCCTATATAGAAACGTTTAAGCACTGCATTTCACAGTCCATATATATGTCCAGCACATAAATTTCAACCCACACACTCATTCACAAATGCATTAAACCACAAATGCTACTCCAAACTTCCCGCTTCATTTGTATAAGTGTATATACATTTATGTATATATGAAGAGCAAATAATTATAATTTTTTATATGTAATTACAAACACATATTACTTTAACAAAAATGCATACTAACGAATAATAGTTTAAGCCAAAAGTGAACAAGATATTTAATGATATGTGTAGCAATTAATTTGTAGGCTACATTTATTCGTACATAAATAAATGTATGTATGGACATATAAATATAAGTATGTAAAACAAATGTATATACATACTTATGTGTATCGATATAAATGGGGCGTGCAATATGTAAAATGAGCACAACATTGTGAAAAGTATTTGGGTATATTTTTTAAAATATACAAAGAAGAAAGAGAATTCAAGTAATAAAGCTGAGCTGAAAAGTAGGACTGAAAGTAGCTGCAATTTAGGCCCAGCAGGAGGTACAGACAGACCATCAACGCGTAGATAAGAGAATAGAGAAAGAGGGAGTTTACATAAGTACGCGACAATCGCTTTGAATAATTATAATTAAAAACTAGTATTAAGTACGCCTATATCCATAGACTAAGAAATCGAATGCACGTGACTCTTTTTACTATAAGGCCAGAAAATCGGCACAACAATTGCCAGTTGCCTCGTTACTGTACATAAATTCCAATAATATTTGTCTAAACTTTATTGTACTACTTATGATCTAAGCGTGCAAGCAGAACCGATTTAGAGAAAGAAGCAAGTATTTTGAGTGGGGCAAAGTATACTTTGTCTATATTTAGCGCGAAATTAACAATTTTGGGATGTTGTATATGAAATTGATTTTAATTTACATATTTATGTATATAAGTATTTATGTAGTTATAATATTAAAAATTGCTTTTAAGTGTGTATGTGTAACTGTCATGCATATAAATTATATACCTCAATTGTAATTATTTGTCCACATTTTCACGAAGCTTCAAACTATGATAGTAAACGCATTTTAAACGAATTTGAATTAATAACTGTTACTTTTATTATTTAGCTAAATAAATCTTAAAACATACGAGTAAATTCTTTGAGCCCCACCCCAAAACTCTAGTTACTGGACAGTTTAAAATGTTATCAAATGTGAGAAAAGTAATTTATACACGTATCTTGTAATAAACAAACAAAAGTATGTCTGTCAATTACAATGAATATAAATATATAACGGCGTAAATACGTGTAAAGTTTTTATGAATTTAGCTTTTAACATTTACATTTCACCAAAATTATATTATTTATTAATGATTACCAATGTAATCAATTTTTAACACGGCTCGAACATTTAAGTAAACTACCACGCCTTATCCAGGTATTTATGTTCATACGCAAATATGTATATATGAGAACAATATCAAGGCCAAATAATTTAAAGCTGTACAATTTCAAAAGATATTTGGTCAACTTATGCATCAGCACATGTAAATGAGCATCCATACCTGTACATATGTACATTCATAAGCAGATGTATGTTTTTCTCGTCCTTCGGCTTTATGTCAGCTGAAAATTATTGTTTTTTAAAGCAGTTTTTGTTTACATTTTCAGAAGTTTGTTTTGTTTTCATGAATTGTGGCTAAGAAACCAAGTGCTAGGAAGTTTTTCAAGCGTGGGCATTATTTCAAGTGCAAGGACATTTTTTTAGGTATTAGATTATTTACAGCCCGAGGGCTGGCTATAACAAGTGCATTTGCACTTGGTTTTTTTAGTAATTAGTGTTGCTGTTGTAAATATTGTATTCAGTTGTGCAACAGGCAGCAGCAGCGGCTATAAGTGGGGCTGGTGGAAGCAGCGGCAACGGAGTGGTTGACTTTGAAATACGTAAGCAGAAAGCAATATACAAATTTAAATAAATATTAATAACATTTACAAGTAATATCGGATAATAATAAAATAATTAATAGCCGACTTCTATACCAGCAGCTCTAAGTTGATAAACGTCAAAATAAACAGGAAAACAGCATCTAACAACTGCTAAAAACTCGTAAAAACTGTTCAACGCATTTATAGCTCTGAGCGTGTATATTTGTTGTTGTTTTGAGTTTTTATGGTTTTTGACGAACAAGTAAAATAGATTCCGTTGCGAACGGCAACTAGTAAATGCTGCAGATCCGACCCAACACGATCCCGTAATAGGTACAGAGAATTTCAAATTCGGGGGTTACCAAATTTAACTATACCACTGGTTTTGTCTTATTTGTGTTTTGCTTGCATTCTTTTTCTAAGTTTTATTGCTGTGCATCAGTGGTGGTTTGATTTGCGGTTGCTTATGCTCTTGATTCTCTTCCGTAAGAGCAACACATAATGCAATCGATCTCACAAAACACGCAAATACAGCGAAAACGCGACTAATAAAGTTTTTACTTCCAAAAAGAGTACTGCCACGCTCTCTCTCTTTTTGTGCTCTCTTTGAAAACAGCGGGGACGATCTAAAATGGCGGCCGTTAGTGCTTTTAGATTAAATGCGAGGCTTGTTTGTTTCATTCAGTGCGACTCGTGACTCCGCAACGTTCAGACATGCGACGCACACTTGGGCCTTCGCATAATCGTAATTCTCGGTAAACTTGTGGTTTTTTAATTAATTTTATAAAGTAAAACCAACTGTATATGTATGTCGGTGCAGGTGCCGGTGCGTATGCATTTGTAGAGAAAAGACAATGAAAAGTGAAATGCGCCAAAATTCAATAATTCTGTTTTGAATAGTGATGCGCTAGTTTTTCTTCTCTACATATACATATATACATATTCATATTTTTATAATATATAATAAATAGTAATTAGCGCGAGACCTTGTGTAGTGTTCTAAATAATTTGAAAATCAAAATCAACTGTGTCTGTCGGTGCAAATGCGTGTGCATTTGTAGAGAAAAGTCAATAAAAAGTGAAATGCGCCAAAATTCTATAATTTTGTTTTGAATAGTGATGCGCAAGTTTTTCTTCTCTACACATACATACATATACATGTATATATATGTGTATAATATATAATAAATCGTAATTAGCGCGAAACCTTGTGTAGTGTTCTAATATAATACATTTTTTGCTGTTTTGCTTTTGAAATGTAGTGTCCAACAACACTTAATGAATAATTATTCGTGTGGTGCGAACCTATTACAATTTGTTTCTTCAATTAAATACGCAAAGCGTTTACGAATGGTTAAGTAATTCTACTCACGGTAAGTAAACAATTTATATAAAGAATATGTGTGAATAAATAGATTAACTGTTTTTTAATGTGTGTGAGTGATCTTTGTGCGTATGTACGCATTTACAGTTGGAAGAAATTTTTGCTGAAGCTGACCGTTACATTAATGCATGCGTCTGTATGTGTTCCCGTGTGTGTTGTAACGATAAGCTTTAAATTTGTAGTGGCTGTGGATGGTGCTTCTAAATGTGTACATGTACATATGTATTTGCAGCCCGAGGGCTGGCTATAACAAGTGCATTTGCACTTGGTTTTTTTAGTAATTAGTGTTGCTGTTGTAAATATTGTATTCAGTTGTGCAACAGGCAGCAGCAGCGGCTATAAGTGGGGCTGGTGGAAGCAGCGGCAACGGAGTGGTTGACTTTGAAATACGTAAGCAGAAAGCAATATACAAATTTAAATAAATATTAATAACATTTACAAGTAATATCGGATAATAATAAAATAATTAATAGCCGACTTCTATACCAGCAGCTCTAAGTTGATAAACGTCAAAATAAACAGGAAAACAGCATCTAACAACTGCTAAAAACTCGTAAAAACTGTTCAACGCATTTATAGCTCTGAGCGTGTATATTTGTTGTTGTTTTGAGTTTTTATGGTTTTTGACGAACAAGTAAAATAGATTCCGTTGCGAACGGCAACTAGTAAATGCTGCAGATCCGACCCAACACGATCCCGTAATAGGTACAGAGAATTTCAAATTCGGGGGTTACCAAATTTAACTATACCACTGGTTTTGTCTTATTTGTGTTTTGCTTGCATTCTTTTTCTAAGTTTTATTGCTGTGCATCAGTGGTGGTTTGATTTGCGGTTGCTTATGCTCTTGATTCTCTTCCGTAAGAGCAACACATAATGCAATCGATCTCACAAAACACGCAAATACAGCGAAAACGCGACTAATAAAGTTTTTACTTCCAAAAAGAGTACTGCCACGCTCTCTCTCTTTTTGTGCTCTCTTTGAAAACAGCGGGGACGATCTAAAATGGCGGCCGTTAGTGCTTTTAGATTAAATGCGAGGCTTGTTTGTTTCATTCAGTGCGACTCGTGACTCCGCAACGTTCAGACATGCGACGCACACTTGGGCCTTCGCATAATCGTAATTCTCGGTAAACTTGTGGTTTTTTAATTAATTTTATAAAGTAAAACCAACTGTATATGTATGTCGGTGCAGGTGCCGGTGCGTATGCATTTGTAGAGAAAAGACAATGAAAAGTGAAATGCGCCAAAATTCAATAATTCTGTTTTGAATAGTGATGCGCTAGTTTTTCTTCTCTACATATACATATATACATATTCATATTTTTATAATATATAATAAATAGTAATTAGCGCGAGACCTTGTGTAGTGTTCTAAATAATTTGAAAATCAAAATCAACTGTGTCTGTCGGTGCAAATGCGTGTGCATTTGTAGAGAAAAGTCAATAAAAAGTGAAATGCGCCAAAATTCTATAATTTTGTTTTGAATAGTGATGCGCAAGTTTTTCTTCTCTACACATACATACATATACATGTATATATATGTGTATAATATATAATAAATCGTAATTAGCGCGAAACCTTGTGTAGTGTTCTAATATAATACATTTTTTGCTGTTTTGCTTTTGAAATGTAGTGTCCAACAACACTTAATGAATAATTATTCGTGTGGTGCGAACCTATTACAATTTGTTTCTTCAATTAAATACGCAAAGCGTTTACGAATGGTTAAGTAATTCTACTCACGGTAAGTAAACAATTTATATAAAGAATATGTGTGAATAAATAGATTAACTGTTTTTTAATGTGTGTGAGTGATCTTTGTGCGTATGTACGCATTTACAGTTGGAAGAAATTTTTGCTGAAGCTGACCGTTACATTAATGCATGCGTCTGTATGTGTTCCCGTGTGTGTTGTAACGATAAGCTTTAAATTTGTAGTGGCTGTGGATGGTGCTTCTAAATGTGTACATGTACATATGTATTTGCAGCCCGAGGGCTGGCTATAACAAGTGCATTTGCACTTGGTTTTTTTAGTAATTAGTGTTGCTGTTGTAAATATTGTATTCAGTTGTGCAACAGGCAGCAGCAGCGGCTATAAGTGGGGCTGGTGGAAGCAGCGGCAACGGAGTGGTTGACTTTGAAATACGTAAGCAGAAAGCAATATACAAATTTAAATAAATATTAATAACATTTACAAGTAATATCGGATAATAATAAAATAATTAATAGCCGACTTCTATACCAGCAGCTCTAAGTTGATAAACGTCAAAATAAACAGGAAAACAGCATCTAACAACTGCTAAAAACTCGTAAAAACTGTTCAACGCATTTATAGCTCTGAGCGTGTATATTTGTTGTTGTTTTGAGTTTTTATGGTTTTTGACGAACAAGTAAAATAGATTCCGTTGCGAACGGCAACTAGTAAATGCTGCAGATCCGACCCAACACGATCCCGTAATAGGTACAGAGAATTTCAAATTCGGGGGTTACCAAATTTAACTATACCACTGGTTTTGTCTTATTTGTGTTTTGCTTGCATTCTTTTTCTAAGTTTTATTGCTGTGCATCAGTGGTGGTTTGATTTGCGGTTGCTTATGCTCTTGATTCTCTTCCGTAAGAGCAACACATAATGCAATCGATCTCACAAAACACGCAAATACAGCGAAAACGCGACTAATAAAGTTTTTACTTCCAAAAAGAGTACTGCCACGCTCTCTCTCTTTTTGTGCTCTCTTTGAAAACAGCGGGGACGATCTAAAATGGCG